TATGATAACTTCTTAGGAGAAACCCAAAAACTGATCCTGATCCTAATTATTCTCACGTGACAGATGTGCTCAGTGCCTTTTATTTATAAAGTGATTTTTTTCAGATTTCAGATTTGATTTGTGATATTAAAAACATCGACAGCCTTTTAACAGGAACACTGTAATTTCTACGCAGTGTGGCAGACTAGTCAACTTCCATGAATATGATATTCCTTTGTAAAGTATCAGAGAGAAAGATTTGGGTGTTCAAAGAAAAGGTTTTGAGGACTGGGGAAATGAAGAAACAGGATATGAACATTGATTAGAATATACAGAAGTGAATTCAATGTAGCATTAAACATGTTGTGTATAGTTATGCAAAAAGTATGATGTAGATTAGGGATCTCCAACCTTGGCAATGCTGGCTGGGGAATTCTGGGAGTTGAAGTCCACCAGGCTTAAAGTTGCCAAGGTTGGAGACCCCTGATGTAGATCTTAGAGTTAAATTCAAGCTTAAAGATAAAAATAGACATACTCTTCCAGAGCCACAATGGATGATGGAACTAAAGTTGATTTACGGCATTGAGAATAAGACTCTCCCTGCTCATAAAGCATCTTCTTGTCAACTTCTCAAGCCACATTGCACGTTAGAGACCTGTGAGTTATTCTCACGTGACAGATGTGGTCAGCCACAAATATTAGTGTTCCAGAAGCCAAATAGATGAAATTACTCCTTACTACCCCCTACGGCTCTTGTTTCTCAGTATATTCACACCCTTCCAAAGATTGAGTGATTGGGCCAAGTTTTCTTGATGTACTTGAATCATTTCTTTTATAGCATAACAGCTACTATTGTTGACAAAAGAAAGACATTATGTGCCTCAATATTATCATACCTTTGATTATTCCTTCCACATATTCTAGTTAATATCTGGGCTTACTAGTATCTGTCCCTTTTTAGGCTACGCGTGCAAAAAAGTAGATTGGTAGATCTGCTGGCAAAACATTGCAGTAGTGGGTTAGCTTCCAGATAAGCAATCATTCTACCACTAACAGACCTGTCAAACTGGAAGACTTCAGCTATAAAGGTTGTTGCATGGTCAAGTTGATATTATTGCCACATCAGCTCCAAAATTAGACAATTTAAATCTTTTTATATGTATAAAACTTAAGTTAACCTATTTAATGTCAGTGTGAACAGGACATGACATTTTAAAACTTTGTTGCATATTAGAGCATGTGTGCCCTCTAGAGGAAGTAACGGGATGTGCTGGGCAAAAAAAAAAACAGCTTCAAGGAAGAGATCAGAAAACGCAAATTGACTCGCTGCTGTACACACTGTAATTCTTGAAGACTTTAGCTTCCTTGCTACCATTTTATCCATTTTTCAGATTCCATCATTCTAACATATATACTTTAGGCAGAGACCCTTAAAATGCTGAAATATTGTTTTCATTTAGTTTTGACCCTATATATTTTAATTTGACTTCTCAAATATGAATATGCTTTTGGGATACATATACCAGGCACACTCTCTTTGATCCTAGATGTGTGAGAAAATCAACATGAAATTATACTTTAATCTATCAAGTAACAATAATGCATAATAGCCACAGTTTGTTAAAATACATCTGAGAGAAAGTAAAACACCTACAGTCTGTAAACATCATTTCAGTGTTAGTTTGGTAGTTATAAAATATAAAAACCAGGTTAGGATTGAATTAAAGAATAACAAAATTGAGATGAAAGAGTCTAGTAATTTAGATACTTTGGTTTAATTGATACAAGGTTTAATTTTTCATATCTCATAAACAATGAATATATACAATTTGCAATGATTTATCATTAAATACAGTAATATATCATGTACCAAAAAATAATCTAGTACTTTTCATACAGAACTATATAATGCTCCATTCTTTTTCAGATCAAGGGTGAGGAATCTGTGGCTCTAAAATTGCAGGTCACCTGGGCTTAATTTCAAGCCTTCAGTTCAGGTTTCTGGTAAGGTGTTCCTCTTGCATTGCTTACTGTTTGAGGAAAGTGGAGTTTTCATGTCAGAGTGAAGAAAAAAATGACTAATCTCTGTGAGGTAACGGTATCCCCCATTTTTGGTTAATTTTAGGAGTATCCAAATTTGGCCTGAAGGAAAGAATGTTGCACTTCAAAGAAAGAAGCTCCCATATTTCTGCCTCGATTAGAATTAGAATTCTAGAATTCTTTTTTATTGGCCAAGTGTGATTGGACACACAAGGAATTCACTTTGGGTGCATATACTCTCAGTGTACATAAAAAGAAAAAAAATACATTCATTAAGGATCATAAGGTATAATACTTAGTGATAGCCATAGGTTATTAAATAAGCTAGGATACAAATAAAACAATATAAATCATAGAGATTCAAACAACAAGGTTATAGTCATAAATGGGAGGAGATAGGTAACAGGAAGGATGAGAAGAAGAATAGTAATACAGTCTTAGTAAATAGTTTGACAGTGTGGGAATTAGTTGTTTAGCAGAGTGATGGCATTTGGGGAAAAAACTGTCCTTGTGTCTAGTTGTATTGATGCGTAGTGCCCCAGAGCGTCGTTTTGAAGGTAGAAGTTGAAACAATTTATGTCCAGGATATGAGGGGTCTGTAGATATTTTCACAGCCCTCTTTTTGATTCATGCAGTATACAGGTCCTCAATGGAAGACAGGCTGGTAGCAATAGTTTTTTCTGCAGTTCTATCATCATCTAGATGATGGCGGTTCTAGAAAATAATTTAGTGGACATCACTTGAATCATGCATGGAATTTTACACATGATCCAGGTGACTTTATCTTCTACTGGTAATTCTCCTGTGCTCTTCATAGCTTCTGTTCCCATTTCTTAAGAAATCTTGCAATAGCTGCATTGTGACTTTGATTAACAAGGCCAGGACGTCATTAAGAAGGTAGAACTTTCAGATTTTAAACATTATGATCCCCTTTGTCTTCCAGTTATAAATTGTAACTTACAGTCTGTTCGTATTAACTTGTCCATTGTCTAAGCAAAGGCCAACTTTCTTGCTTGTTAATAATTGCCTATTTTTAATTGAAATGCTGGGCTTGACACTTAATAGCTGCTTTCATTTAGGCCAAAGGATGCTAGTAAAAAGTTCAGCCTACTTCGAGATAGGTTATGAATCATAGAACAGTCAACATTCCATTCA